TCAGCACCCCGAGAGTCGGAACCCCTAGGCTCAGCACCCTCATCAGCACCAGAGTCACCAATAACCTCGACAGGCTCGACTGCGTCTATGTGGGACACACCTGAAGGGGCAGGACCCTGAGGGGGGAGGGGGTCTACCGGGGGGGGACCTGGCACAAGGAAGAGCGGTGGCGGGGGGAGGGACGGAGTGCGGTAGGGGAAGAGGCGGTAGTAGGGGACCGACTCGTCAAACGTGACGTCCTGGGAGGACAGAACACGGCGAGAGGTGGGGTTGTAGAACTGCCACGCTGGCGCGTCAGGGGGGAAGCAAAGGAAGACGCAAGGAGCAGCACGAGGGGACAGCTTGTCCGCAGACAAGTCGCGGACAAACGCCCGAGATCCCCAGACACGGAACGCAGACACATCGCCAACCTTCCCCGTCCACAGCAAAGCTGGGGAGGTCTCGGCATGGAGACCCTGGGGTGAAGGTTGATCTGATGCGCCGCGTATCGAACCGGAAACGGCCACAGAAAATGGGGGGCAACCGCATGCATCATGGACGTACGGGCGACATCCATGACCATGCCAATGCGGCGCTCAGCAATCCCATTTTGCTGTGGAGAGTCCGGAAGCGTGAAGGTCTGGCGGATGCCTCGTGCACGACAGTAGGCTCGCAGAAGGCCAGAGGAGAACTCTCCGCCTCTGTCAGAGTGCAGACGCAGAACAGGAAAGTCCGAGTTGAAGCTCTGCCTGAGCTGGAGACGAGCTGCACGGATCCAGTCGATCAACACCGCATTGACGTCACCCTTGCTGCGCAAGGGGAAGACTGTGGTGTAACGCGAGTAGTCGTCAACCACCAGCAGGAAGTAGTGCTCGTGATCCTGTCCACGGACGCGGGCCGGGCCCCACACGTCCATGTGAAGCGTCTGCAGCGGGGCCTCTGTCGGAGGAAACTGGGAGGAGTGAGGGGCAGCCCGCTGGCGCCCCTCGACACAGGAGACGCAGGTAGGGCCAGGCCTCGGAGGAAGGGGAGGGAGGGACCGGGGAAGACCAGAGACAAGGACACGGGAGGCCATGCCTCGGAGACGAAGCAGGGAGGGGTGACCAAGGCGGTGGTGCCAGAGGAGAGTCTCGTGAGACAGGAGGCGACACGAGCAGGGGGCAGACTCAGGACCAGACCTGGACGCTGCAGCAAACACCTGACCCGACGCAGCTACCTGACCAGACGCAGTGACTGGAGGAGAAGCAGTGGTCAGTGTGTACAGGCTCGACCCCGGCCGACGTGTAAACGTGGCCAGGCGTCGGCCTGTCCGAGCGTACGTGCAGTGGGTCACCCGCTGACTCACAGGAGTGAACTGGTGAACCCCCGCATCCTGTAGGTCAGCACCACTCACCAAGTTCGTAGAGAATGAGGGGAGGTAAAGACCAGACAGGGTGCCAGAGGGGGCCGCCGGACACGGGAGGACGATGGAGAAGTGAGCAAGGACAGGACCCCCAGAAGGGTCTGCCAGAGAGATTGCATCTGGCCGGCCAAGCGGCGTGAGTGAGGTGCGGTCTCGAAAGAAGGAGCGAGAAGCCCCCGAGTCAAGGGTGAAGGTGTGGGAGGCCGAAGCCGACGTAGTACCTAAGAGAGCAGACTCACCAGCACCTGAGGGAGCAGACGCATGAGAACCTAGAGCAACAGCCTCGCTAGCACCTAGAGCAGCAGCCTCACCATTACCTAGAGCAGCAATCTCAATGCCCGGGTCGGGCGGAATACCGGTAACAGTCACCCTCATCACTTATAGTCACAGCATACATGGCAGCAAGAATAGCATCAAAGTCAAGGTCAAAGACAGCTACTCCCGCCCTAGACAGCTCGCCCCAGCGGGGGATCTAAGTGGCCTCAGGGAACTAGTGACGCCAAGCGTCCGTCAGGCGGCCAAAGCAGCGCTGGGTGGAGTGCGCACCCCCGCACTGCTCACCCGTGCGGTCGCCGGTGCGTAGGACGTAGGTGCACGGACCAGTACCCCCACCCCGCTGGCGTGCAGCGTACCACTCACGGAGCTGCTGAGGTGGGGGGATGTCACGAGTGCGCTGCTGCTGCTGCTGCTGGCGCTGACCACCACCGGAGCCGACCCTCTGCGCAGCACCACCCTGACCAGCTCCACCTCCTCCGCCGCCGCCTCCTCCACCGCCGCCACCTCCGCCACCTCCGCTCCTACCGCCACCGCCGCCACCGCCTCCGCCTCCACTGCCGCCACCGACACCTCCACCCCCGCCACCACTCCCACCACCACCCCCACCCCCTCCACTCCCTCCACCGCCACCTCCGCCACCCCCGCCAGCCCCTCCAGCACACTTGTCCCCTTTGCCCTTGCCGGTGCGGCGTCTCCTGCTCAGGGCAGACGCAGCGCCGACCGACTCGAAACCAACGAGGTCGGCCGCAGCAGCAGAGGCAACAGAGGGCAAAAGGGGGAGGGGGAACACCCCTCAAAGACGGGGGTGCGAGGGTCACCACGAGAGGCTCCTACAGCGACTATGCTCTTCTCTGCTGCTAGGAGGGCCTTCTCGAGGAGGTCAACGGTGAGAGTGGTGGGGCAAATTGAGAGGAAGTGGTCCCTCACTACGCGGAGAGAGTCAGGGAGTCGGGTGACTATGTAGTAGAGGGTGATGTACATGGGGGGGGGGGGGGGGGTTCTTGGCGCAGAACTCAGCAGGAAGCGCAGCGCGGTAGCGAGTGTCACTAGTGCGGGGATGCGTAATGAGGTCAACGACTGTGGGAAAGGCAGCAAGGTCAGGAAAGAGGTACGGTAGCATGAGGCGGCTCAGTGCAGCAGTGGCAGGGGAGGAGTAGCGCGCAACTACAGCGTGGTACAAGGTCTGAGCACTCTTGTACTGGCTAAAGTGCGCACGCTGAGAGGTAGGCAGGTGGCGACGCACAGCAAGACGTGCAGCAGCATCGCGTGTGGCCCACTGTGAGCGAACAGTGGCGTCAGCATCAGCAGCAGGGGTAGGAGAGGCACCAGAGGTGAGGTCAAAGAGGGAGAGACCGTCTGCCCTATCGCATTGTAGGAAAAGCTGCAGGTCATCTACCCAGACGTCAAAGTCAATGGCCCGACCCTCAGCGTCAAAAGCGAGGACACTAGGGGTAGCCATGACAGCAGTAGACTAGCAGCGCAAGCAGTAGGGTAAGGGCAGTGCAGTGACAGAGGCGCTGCTCTTACCGGACAGGGCGGCTCGGGCGGCTCGGCGGCTCGGCAACTCGGCGGCTCGGGCGGCTCGGCAGTACGTCGGCTCGGCAGCAACTGCGGCTCGGCGACTCGGCGGCTCGGGCGGCTCGGGCAGCTCGGCGGTACAGCGGCTCGGCAGCAACTGCAGCTCGGCGGCTCGGGCGGCTCAGGTGGCGCGGCGGCTCGGGTGGATCGGACGGCTCGGCAGCAGCTCGGCGGCGCCGGCGGCTCGGTGGTGACGGCGGGGCCGTGTGGGGACGGCGGCGGGGCCGGGTGGAGCGGCGGCGGGGCCGGGTGGAGCAGCGTCGGGGCCGGGTGGAGCGGCGTCGGGGCCGGGTGGAGCAGCGTCGGGGCCAGTAGAGGCGGCGCCGGGGCCGGGAAGGGCAGCTCCGGGGCCGCAGGGGTAGGCGACGGGGCCAGCAAAGGCGGCGCCGAGGCAGGGAAGGGCGGCGCCGGGGCCGCAGGGGTAGGCGACGGGGCCGCTAGGGCGGCTAGGAGGAAGGGGGTCGCGAGGGTGGCTTGAAGAGGCCGCGAGGGCGGCTAGAAAGGGCCGCGAGGGCGGCGTGAAAGGGCCGCGAGGGCGGCGCGACGCGACGCAGCTGCGAGGGCGGCTGATCGGGGCCGCGAGGGCGGCGCGACGCGGCCGCTAGGGCGGCGCGACGTGAAGGGGCCGCGAGGGCGACGCGACGGGGCCGCAAGCGCGACGCGACAGGGTCGAAAGAGCGGCTCGACGGGGCCGTGAGAGGGGAGCGCGACTCAGGCAGTGTAGAGCGCGCTCCGGGCAGGAAAAAAAAGGTGGTGGGCCCTAGGAACAGTTCCCACAGGGGAACCTGCTCGATACCCGGAGAATCTGAACGAGAATGGAAATGACTAAGAGAAAGTTGGGTATAAGTGCAAACCCTAGAAAGCTGTACCCCATATGTACTACCCCACTATAGCCTACAGTAGCTATGTGATATAAATCTGACAGGGTTGTCTAACTATAAAATTACATATAAATGTGTTAGGTTAGGCCTGTCGGGCTGTGGTGAGGTACGTTTTATAGGGTATATCTTTTCCCTTGGGAGTTGTGTTTGTGCCTTCTCTCTCGTTAGTGAAAATACTTCATAAATTCTAAGATGATATCACCTAGGTAGTTCCTAGGCCGTAGTTCCGTGTCGCCCTGTGTCGCCCTCAATCGCCCCGTTACGCGCTGCCCACGCTGCCTGCGCTACCCTAGCTGTAGGACCTGCACACGCTTGCACAGCAGCGCACACGCGCAGCAGAGCCCCGCGCGCGAGCAGCAGCAGCCTTGCGCGCACAGCAGCGGCCGCCATGCGCACTGAAACTGCCGTCGAGTGTCGCTGCAAACATTATCCGCACTCCGCCCCGTCCCTTGCTGCGCTCTGCCCTGCCGCCCGCGCGCGCAGCTCTATGCACGTCCCCCGCATGAGCAGACGTGCGCAGCAACAGCTGCACGCACACGCGCAGCTGCTTACGCAGTAGGAGCCGCGCGCAGGTGACTTAGTCACCTAAGTTCCGTAGATTTTAAGAGGGTTCCCTACGGCTTCGTTAGAGGTTGGTGTTGACGCCACACCACGATGAGATTTGCAAAACTGTTACCGTAGCACTCAACCATTCTTTCATTCCCTAACAATTTCCCACGCCCCATCATCGTCTCTAAACCCTAAATCCAGAACCCCTTGTCGTTAGTTCGCCGTGTCAGCAGGCCTTCTCACTTTTTGCTAAATTGGATTTTCGTTCGAGATTAGATTAGACTTTTAGCGCGCCACGCAATTTTCCTCGCGTGGCTCTGCAGCGCGGCGGAGCGATGAAGGCGGCGAAGCGGGGAGCGAAGGCGCCTCGTGCTGGTGGCGGGCGGGGGGATCTCAGCGGCCCGCAGATGCCACCCACCGTCATCTCTGACTCGCGGTTCGCCGCGCTCCACTCCGACCCGCGCTTCGCGGTGAGCTTCGACAGCAGCCGCTCTGGCTGCTTGACGGTGGGCGTGGAAATGCGATGGTTGAAGGTCGCGCTGCTGTCGCCTGCGCGCCCACCTTGGCGGCAGCCCAGTCGCCGTCCTCCAACACGCCACGTGCCTCACCCCCTGCCATGCCCCTCCCACTTCATGCCTCTCTCGCATCCTCTCGCCCTTCCTGCCAATCCCGCCTGCCGTGCTACACACATTCGCAGCAAGTCATTCCGCCTCTCCCCACTTTCCCGTTTCCCCATCGCCTTTCCCCAGCCCGCCCCTTGTCCGACTCCCCTGCGCCCTCTGTCCGCCCCATTCGTCCCACGCGCTCTCCATCTGCCCGTCTCGACGTCTTGCACAACAGCCAGGCACTTGCCGCTCCTATTCTTTCCTACATCCCCGACCCTGTCCAGAATAGTGCACCCCAAACCCTAAACTCCTGAACCCCTAACCCCGAAGTTGATTTATCACCCCAAACCCAGGACCCTCGTCACCCCCCATGCACCCCTCGTCACTTCCACGCACCCCGCGTCAACCCCCATGCACCCCTCGCCACCCTTGCGTTCCCCCCCCAGCGCGTGCCGGTGCGCGAGACGCGCGTGGCGGTGGACGCGCGGTTCTCCGGCATGTTCCTCTCGGCGCAGTTCGGCGAGGCGGGCGGCGTGGACAAGCGCGGACGGCGGCGCGAGGCGCAGCGAGGGGCCGACCTGAAGCGGTACTACCACGTGGATGAGGGGGAAGAGGGGGAGGCGGGGGAGGCGGGGGAGGGAGAAGGGGAGGTGAATGAGGGAAGCGGGAGAAGGAAAAGCAGGTAGAAGCAAGGGCGCGTAAGGAGGAGGAGGAGGATGAGGAGGAGAAGGAGGAGGAGGAGGAGGAGGAGGAGGAGGAGGAGGAGGAGGAGGAGAGGAGGAGGAGGAGGAGGAGGAGGAGGAAGAGGAGGGGGAGGTGCATGAGAGTGATGAAGAAGAGGAGGGGGAGGGCTCAGATGACTCGTCCTCCTCTTCCTCATCAGACTCGGAGAGTGGAGAGCGATGAAGAGGCTTCAACCGCACAGGTGCTTGCCTTACTCCCACCCCCTCTCTTCTCACCTTTTCCCTCTGCACCGCTCCATTTTCCCACCACCACATGCTGCTTCGGCCGCTCCCCACTCCCACTCATCTTTGCTCCACCCCTCCTCCTCTCCCCTCATCGCCCCACATCCCGCGCTGCCCTTGTCGCGCCGCCGTCTATCCCGGGCGGCAGCAGCAGGAGGAGAGCGAGTGGAGACGGTGGAGGACGGCAACGAGGCGCCTGGCGCTCGTCAACATGGACTGGGATAACATAGCGGGTGAGATGAGGGAGGAGAGGGGCGATGTGTGGGTGAGATGAGAGAGGAGAGGGGCGACGTGTGGGTGAGATGAGAGAGGAGAGGGGCGACGTGTGGGTGAGATGAGAGAGGAGAGGGGCGACGTGTGGGTGAGATGAGAGAGGAGAGGGGCGACGTGTGGGTGAGATATGAGAGAGGAGAGGGGCGACGTGTGGGTGAGATGAGAGAGGAGAGGGGGCGACGTGTGGGTGAGATGAGAGAGGAGAGGGGCGACGTGTGGGGTGAGATGAGGGGCAGCATGAAGTGGCACAATCAGGGACGTGAGGGGGGGGGGCGTATGGGGGTGAGCATGGCATGCACATGGGAGGGGGAGCAGGCAAGGACATGGGAGGGGAGCAGGCAAGGGACATGGGAGGGGGAGCAGGCAAGGACATGGGAGGGGAGCAGGCAAGGACATGGGAGGGGAGCAGGTAAGGACATGGGAGGGGAGCATGGGGAAGAGCAGAGCCATGCACAGTGGCTGGACTACTTCCATGCACAGTGGCTGGACTACTTCCATGCACAGTGGCTGGACTACTTCCGTGCACAGTGGCTGGACTACTTCCATGCACAGTGGCTGGACTACTTCCATCCACAGTGTCTGGACTACTTCCATGCACAGTGGCTGGACTACTTCCATGCACAGTGGCTGGACTACTTCCATGCACAGTGGCTGGACTACTTCCATGCACAGTGGCTGGACCACTTCCGTGCACAGTGGCTGGACTACTTCCATGCACAGTGGCTGGACTACTTTCCGTGCTCCGTCTTGCTGCACGCTCACTGCCATCTCACGTCTCTCCTCTCCTGTTCTTTCCGTTCCCTCTTGCTCATCCTCCCCCCCCCCCCCGCCACGGCAGGCAGTGGACATCCTGGTGGTGCTGCGCTCCTTCGTGCCGCCCGGCGGGCGCATCACAGCCGTCACCGTGTACCCCTCTGACTTCGGCCGCCAGCAGATGCACGCCGAGCTTGAGCGCGGCCCCCAGGGCCTCTTCCAGGCGGGCAGGGGGGCAAAGGGGGACGGCAGGCAGGGGGCCTCAGGTGCAGGGGGGTGAGGGCGGTGAAGAGGAGGAAGGGGAGAGCAGTGAGGAGGGCGAGGGCGTGGATGCGGAGAGGCTGAGGGAGTACGAGAAGTCCAAGCTCAGGTGAGGGAGTACGACAAGTCCAAGCTCAGGTGAGGGAGTACGACAAGTCCAAGCTCAGGTGAGGGAGTACGACAAGGTCCAAGCTCAGGTGAGGGAGTACGACAAGTCCAAGCTCAGGTGAGGGAGTACGACAAGTCCAAGCTCAGGTGAGGGAGTACGACAAGTCCATCCCAGGCCCATCCTGTCGGCCCATCCTGTCTGCCCATCCTGTCTGCCCATATCCCACACGTTTCTATCCCGACTCTGCATGATCGTTTCTTATCAGCTCACCTTCTTCCATATTCCTTGTCGCTCTTGTCAGCACCCTCTGCGCGCCCACAGGTTGCCAGTTTGAGTGCCCAACCCTTCTCCTCCCCCTCCGCATGTCCTCCTCCCCTACCCCTGTGTGCGCCGTGCCGTGCCGTGCAGGTACTACTATGCGGTGGTGGGAGTGTGACAGCGCGGCCACGGCGGCACACGTGTATGGGGAGTGTGACGGCATGGAGTTTTGAGAACAGTGCCAACCCAGCTCGACCTGCGCTTCATCCCCGACGCCATGGCCTTTCAACCACCGACAGCCCCGCGACTCCTGCACCCAGGTGCCATGTCACCCCTCCGTGTGGTGTGCCCCTCCGTGCCATGTCACCCCTCCGTGCCATGTCACCCCTCCGTGCCATGTCACCCCTCCGTGCCATGTCACCCCTCCGTGCCATGTGACCCCTCCGTGTGGTGTGACCCCTCCGTGCCATGTCACCCCTCCGTGCCATGTCACCCCTCCGTGCCATGTCACCCCTCCGTGCCATGTCACCCCTCCGTGCCATGTGACCCCTCCGTGCCATGTCACCCCTCCGTGTGGTGTGACCCCTCCGTGCCATGGTCACCCCTCTGTGCCATGTCACCCCTCCGTGCCATGTCACCCCTCGTGCCCTGTCCACCCCTCGTGCCATGTCACCCTCGTGCATGTCACCCTCCGTGCATGGAGTCGTGCTGGTCCAACACCAGAGGCCTCTCACGTCGTGCCGCATCACACAATGCATGCGTCGGTCGGCACAAGCCAACTGTGCACGCCAATGCGTGCATGGAGGTCAATTACCGGAGACCAGGCTGCTCTTCTTCACCCTGCACTCAATCTCCCCTCGACCTCACTCGCTGCTTACGCGCACCCGTGCAGGTGCCAGGGGACTACGAGGCACCGCTGTTCACCACGCGGGTGCTGCAGCACAGCACCTTGAAGCTCACGTGGGACGAGGACGACCCCATCCGCGTGCGAGCGCTGCGCCGCAAGTTCGCCTCCGACCAGGTGAGCGTGCCGGCCAGGTGAGCGTGCCGGCCAGGTGAGCGTGCCGGCCAGGTGAGTGCCGGCCAGGTGAGTGCCGACCAGGTGAGTGCTATCTACCCTCAAGGGCGTGCCATGCCAGGAGATGCATCTGCCTTCACCACTCCCTCTCCCCTCTTGCTTCCCCCTTTTTATTCCCTGAACACCCTTTCCTCCGTTCTCCCTTGTTGTTTTGCTCCTCCTGTTTTCAACCCCCCCTCCCCCCCTTTCTCCTGCGGGCTGGGCATGTCCTCACGTGTCCTGTGCGCTGCTCTCTGCAGGTGGCGGATCTGGACTTCCACGACTACCCTCGCCTCGTCCTCGGGCGAGGACGAGGAGGAGGGGGAAGAGGAGGAAGAGGAGAAAGAGGAGGAGCAGGACGAGGAGGAAGAGAGAAAGGAGAATGGTGGCAGGAAGGAGGAGGGAAAGAAGAAGGGCGGAGGCACAAGAGAGAAGCTGAGGATGCTGTTGAAGGGGCTGGCGGGGGATGGCGGAGGCAAGGGGAAGAAGGGGAAGGGGAGACCGGGAGAGGCAGAGGGGGGAGGAGTCGGATGGGGAGGGGTGGGGGTCATCAGGGGTGGAGGGCGACATGGAGGTCACGTTCAGCACGGGGCTGGCGGCGCTGGGCGACAAGCTGGCGCGGCGCCGCAGCGAGCAGCAGCGCAGTGGCAGCGAGACGGTGTTTGAGGCGTACCAGCGCCAGCGCAAGGAGCGCCGCAAGGAGCGCCGCCGCCTGGCCGAGGCGAGCAAGGCGGCAGGAGGGGGGCGCAGGGGGGAGTGCGGAGGAGGAGGCAGGAAGCGACGACGATTTGTACGACAGCAGGCGCGTGCAGCAGGAGGACGACCCGTTCTTTGCCCTGCCCGCAGATGAGGACCCCTTTGCTGATCCCTTCTTTGCCTCCACTCATGCCGGTGCTGCTGTGGGCAACGGAGGGGCTGGAGTGGTGAAGGGAGTGAAAGCAGGGAAGAGTGAGTATGAGAGGAAGGCGGAAGAGCGCGAGAGGAAGAGGGCGGAGCGGGAGCAAGAGAGGGCAGAGGAGGAGAGGCGGCGGGCGGAGCTGGAGCTGCTGCTGATGGAGGGGGGGCGAGGGCGGGGGGGTGAAGGGGTTGAACCTCACGGCGCACGCACGCACGGCCAACGAGCAGCGCCGCGTGCAGGGCAGAGGGGCGAGGGGGGCGCATGGCGCAGCGGGGGAGGAGGAGGCTGACGGGGAGGGAGGAAGAGCACGGTCGGTGGGTGGTGGGGGCAAGGTGGGGAGGGGCGGAAGGAAGGGGAGGAGTGTGGGAGCAGGCGGGGCAGGAGGCGGGGCGGGGTGTGGACGTGGACGTGAATGACCCACGCTTCGCTGCTCTCTTCACCTCTCCGCACTTCGCCATCGACCCACCGACCCCCGCTTCCTCAAGTCAGTGCTACATCGCACCCCACTGCTGCCATCCCATCCCATTCCCCCCCATTCCATTCCATCCCTGCCACTCCATCCCATCCTCTGGCAGCCATTGCGTGTCATGGCGCGTGCCCCTCACAGCCTTGGCGCTGCTCCCCCCTCCCCCCAATCACCAGGTCGTCAGCCCCCGCAGCGCCTGGATAGCGGAGAAGCAGCGCCGCCCGCGTGCCAAGTGGCGCAGCGGGCGGGGGAGCAGCGGGTGGTGGCGGGAGTGGCAGCAGTGGTAGGGGTTCCGCCAGCCATGCGCGGGGGGTTCCAGGGGGGCTGGCAGGTGGGCGGGGGGCTGGGGATGGGGAGGAGGGGAAGGGTGCGGGTAGTGGCAGGGCGGAGCTGAGTGTGGTTGTGAAGAGCCTCAAGCGCAAGATGGGGCAGAGCACACACAAGGCAGGGCCAGGAACAGGGAAGGCAGCGCCAGGGACAGGCAAGGCGGAGGGCCTGAAGAGGCAAAAGAAATGACGCGTTCGGGATGAGGAGAGGGTGGTATGAATGATACACTGAGGCCGCGCTGCTGCCGTCATCTTCAAGTTAGACGCCCCTGGAAACATCAAGGTTCCAGAGGTCAAAACCTGGGGGTGCTTACTCCCAGGGTGTATTCAGTTTTCGTTTTATGTACCGTGTCACTCTGGATAGAGGAGCACCTGCGCTTATAAGAGCGTGTTCTTACGGCCCCCTATCAGGCCAACCACTTGTCAGACTCGCCTTTAAAACCGAAATGCAAAATAGTGAACCCGGGGCCAGCTTGAAAGGGGGCCTGCCGAGCGAAACAATTTTCTCTCGTTTGCACTGTTCCTTCGGGAGCATTTTTGCAGATCGAACAGATCTGATTGGTTCTCGCCAAACCCAAAAAAAAGGAAACACAGCACGTCAGGCGTCGCACATCTGTTTGGGAAGGCGCACACCTCTAGCACCGCGATCGCCCACGCACGTCCTTGCGATTTTGGGCCCAGCTTGGGGTTCAAGTTGGGCCTGGGTGAACTACTAGTTCTTCCGATCATACATCTCTGTTTTTTAGTTATAAATAGCCTGCCTAGCCATAGAACCATCAACTTAGGCCGTTGTGGTTTCAATTTTGACGCACAGTGAAGCTGGCATGGTTGTATAGTACTTTGTGCCGTTTCGAACGCACTCTCGCCGCCCTTCCCATCGATTCTCGCTCGCCCTCCCGTTCCGATCATCCTCGCGCCGTCCGTTCCGTCGTTCGTCCCGTCGCCGTCCCTTCGCCTTCCCGTCACCGTCCCGTCGCCGTCTTGTCGCCTTCCCGTCGCCGTCCCGTCGCCCTCCCTCTCTGTTCGCCTTTCAATCTCTGTTCGCCATTCAACTCTCCGTTCGCCCTTACCTCTCCGTTCGCCCCTCCCCTCTCCGTTCGCCCTTCCCCTCTCCGTTCGCCCTTCCTCTCTCCGTCGCGCTTCCCCTCTCCGTTCGCCCTTCCCCTCTCCGTTCGCCCTTCCCCTCTCCGTTCGCCCTTCCCTCTCCGTTCGCCAGTCCCCTCTCCGTCGCGCTTCCCCTCTCCGTTCGCCCTTCCCCTCTCCGTTCGCCCTTCCTCTCTCCGTTCGCCCTTCCTCTCTCTGTGGCGCTTCCTCTCCCGCCGCCCCTCTTCTCTCCCGTCGCCCCTCTTCTCTCCCGTCGCCCCTCTTCTCTCCCCGTCGCCCCTCCTCTCTCCCGTCAACCTTCCTCTCTCTCCTTACTACGTCGCTCTCGCTGTTCTCGCTCGAAGTACTACCGTGCCTGATTAAATTGTTTCTTTAAAGCTCGCAGCCCAAATTGTTCAACCTTAATAAGGTTGACCTTTGGGTGGTGGGAGAAGAAGTTGACTTGTTGGGAGTTGGGCTGTTTCCTTTCGCCCAGTTTCGCGCTAGACCCTTGGGGTTTTCGTTGACACGGCAAACCCCTGGGAGCAACCTGGGTTTGCTTCGAGAGTCCCAAATTGCAATCAACATATTGTTGTTCCCTGCTCTCCCATTCGACAAAAAAAAAACTGGCCAATCAGATTGCATCTCACTTCTCGTAACCACCCTTCGCAACCCAAACAGCACTCAAAACATCACCCCCGTCAACCTTAGTAAGCTTGGCCAGCGCGCCCCGCAATTTGGGCCGCGAGCTTTAAGGTGGCATTGGGCACTGAGAGGGACGTGGGTTATGCGGCTCTCTCATTTTGGATTTACGAATTAACTTGGATTTATTTTATGTTAGAAATTTTCATCGGGTGAACCATTCAGCCTTGGTGTTCAAACATTACTCACGCTCTCCCCGTCGCATCTCCCTCGCGCTCACGCTCTCCCCTCCCATCTCCCTCACGCTCACGCTCTCCCCGTCGCATCTCCTCTCGCTGCCCCTCGCCCTCCGCATTTGCTAGCGAGCCCCGCTGTTATTCGGCTATCTCGTCTGTCCCGTCGCCCAGCCATAGCCCTGTCGCCCTCACAATCACCCCTCCCTTCATCTCGCCCTCACGATATCCATCCAATTCCGTCGCAATCGATGCCTCTGCTGCACTTAGTCGTATTCTTCAGTGTATGTGTGTGCTTGGGATCTTGTCTGTGCTGTTGCTAGATGTGCATTTGATGAAGTCACAACTCGTCAAATGGTTGCACTGCCTTGCACGTCGCAGCTCTTTGCGCCAAATTCGCACATCTGTTTGGCTGCCTATCAAAATTGAGAAAGAACTTTGTTCCTTGTTCACTCCGAAACTTGTCTGGAGCTGGAAAAAAACACACGCACAGTACTTCAACCTTCTACAACACTACAAAGAAACTTGGGTCTTCAAGTTGGACCCAACTAGAAGGGGGGGGTCACTATTTTAGCTGCTGGCTTTAACACCCACATCTCTGGGTGTGTAATGCAACTAATTATCTGACCTGTGTGTCCAGCTTTGTTAGGCCCCTTGGCCTAAATCCGCTAAAGATTAGCGGGGTCGACTAAGTCGAGGACCAAACGCGGCGGAAAACTTTGGCGAAAAAACTATTGATGAAATAGGCGAAGTTACCGAGTAGTTGAAGAGTTGAATGAGAATTGGTTGATCATGGCAAGTGAAAGCAAGGTTGATATACCATGCAAGATCGAATGTCAGAAAGTACTTCATGGGACTAGGAATTGAAGGCAAGAAAGTAGAGTGCCACGTGGCACTAGGAAATCTGTGAAGATAGGATAAGGATTGGGTTGGGAGGGAATGACTGTTCAGGATGAACAGCAAACTACCCTGTAATAGGCTTGCTCTAAGCGTGCATAGTCGCGTGGGCTATGTGGCACGCAGCAACAGTAACCTATACATATGATTAACCGTTCTGCCCTAGAATCGTCGCATGTGAGCTTGACTCGAAACAAAATGTCAGAACAGAAACCGTAGACATAAGTGTCATTCAGACCTGAAATCGTCCATAACTAACTACCGTACGAATTCCACGCACTGAATTTTCGCAACCATTCTCGACAAAACAGCAATGTGTCTGCACTGCACATGTCAAGCGTGGGTGCTGCACGTGATTTGCTGATGTGGCACGCCAGACAGAGTTCGCGCTCGCAAAAAGAAGTGTTTTCTAATGAGAAGCTCGCGTGGGGTGTTTCCTGTTATGAGGTTAGGCTGATAAGGGCTCGTAGGAACATGTCCTAATACCGCAATCTCCCGGTTAGAAGACCCACTGGTCTTATCCCAAGTGTGCTAGAAATGGGTTGTGGGGTTATATTTGATGGCATGTAGTGCAAAAGACCATGTGTTGAAATGATCTATAGCGGAATGGACTGCACTAGCAGGAATCATGTGCAAGTAGTAAACCCTAATTGGGTTGTACCCTCTAGAGAGTACCGTAGAATCGGCCGGTAAAATTTGCTGTTATAACTGAAGGATCGAAGTTGATAGGATAAGATTGCTGAGTTGAAGTCCTTGTAGTGACCGTGCTAATAGTAGTTGAAGAGAACAAAATGAGTTTAAGATAGAAGTACAAGGGTATAAATAGCAAACTAGCTAGCCATGTACTATGAAGGGTACATTCCCTTATTAACCGTATTGCATAGCTATAGTAACCACGACTATTGCTCTTCTCGACAGTTACCATGTTGCATCGCGTAATTACCAAGTGCGTTCATTGGGCGGTCAACAGTCGCGACCTCTGACTTGCTGTGACAGTTGACCTTCGGGTGACTCTCTATCTGCCGTGTGCTCTATATGAGCTACTACGGTACTGGTACAGTGGCGCTACTTCGTTATGTAGTGGTGCTCTTAGGAGAGAGCCTTCGGGAATGTTATCATAACCTTTCAAATATTCCAACACTCCCCTTCATTTCTGAGGGTGAGCCACGTGGGACTTCTTGGTGATCCCGCAAAGGTCGGCGCAGTGCTGGAACTTCTGAAGTGGCAGTTTCTTCGTCAGAAAGTCGGTTGCCATGTCACCAGTTGGGCAGTACGTGAGCTTGACCTTGCCCTTGTCGATCTCGTCCTTGACGAAGAGGTAACGGAGTACGATGTGCTTCGTACGGTTCACGAAGCCGGGCTTGTTCGCGATATTGATCGCGCTTTGATTGTCGCAGAGTAACGTGAAGTGCCCGTTCATCATTACTTTTGCTTCCTGTAGGAGCTCCATCAGGTACAATCCTTCGCGAACACCTGTACTGGCGGCGATGAACCCCACTTCGGCCGACAAAAGAGCAATGAGCTATTCCTTCTGAGAGTTCCAAAAGATGATTCCAACTAGTTGGAGTTGAAAAATGAATCATGTGCAGGAGAGTTTGTTGTCAATGTCTTCTGCATGGTCCGCGTCTATGTAGCCGTGAAGCTACAGAGTAGCAGTTAAGTTGGCTTCGTAGGTGAGTCCGACGTGAGAGGTAGAGATGAAATATTGGAGGGCTTGACGTAGGTCCTGTAGATTTGCCCCTTCAGGTCGCTTCAGGTACTGTTTGAGATGGCTTGCAAAGTAGGAGAGATCTGGCTGGCACGTGACGGCGGCGAACAAGAGACACCCCAGCTACTGCTGATAGAGCCGATGGTTATCGATGTTGTCGATGGTTTCGGGTTCATGATCAGGAGGAGGAGTCCGGAAGGGGGTGGTGCGGTTGATCGGAGCAATGGCCATTCTTTTCGCAAGTGTTTCCGCGTATTTGGCGGCGGAGAGGTGAATGGAGGTGGCGGACTGGGTAATATTGAGACCCAGGAATTGCGTGACATTATGGTTGATTGTCACCTCGAGCTTCTCCTTGATTTCTTCTTCAAAATGGTCCAGCAGCTCCGTGTCATTACCAGTGTAGAGGAGGTCTTCCACGTAGGCGACAAGAAGGATGAATTTGCCGCGTCACTCCTTCCAGTACATCCCGAGTTCATGTGGCAGCTGAGTGAATCCGAGCTCCATGAGAACGGTGTGCAGATAATGCTACTACAGGGGAGGTTCTTGTTTGATCCCATAAAGGGATTTCTGGAGAAGGCAGACGGCGCCGTCGCTTTCTTCGAAAGCGTGCGGCTGCTCGACAAAGATGATGGTGTCGACAGGTGCTCAATCCCCTTCTTGGCGAAGAGTTGCTTGAACTCAGTTGAGAAGAACTCTGCCCCACCGTATGTTTGGAAGCTCTTTAGCTTCAATCGTGATTGACGATCTACTCGTTTCATCCGAGCAATGAAGCATTCGAAGGCAAGAGAGCGGCAGTCAGTGTTGATGGCCCAGACACAGCGTATTCATGCGTCGATAAAGGTTGTACATTTCGCTGTCAAGCCCTTCCTACGTGAGATTCATGAAGTCGTTGTAAACCTTTTCGAGTGGTTCACAGCGTTTGTAGCCAGGAGGTAAATCCAGGAAGGGCTTGTGGGCAAGCAACACGGTGGGGCAGACGATGCATGGAGGGTCAACTGAGTTTGCTGTGAGGGAACCTCTTCTAGGAAGCAGCACCGCGTCAAATTCAAAGAATCCAGCCTTGATGGAGTTTTTGAGTGTGACGTGAGAGGGATGTCCAAGTTGTTGATGCCAAATTTCTGGTTCTGCTTGGTAGCCGACTGCCTTATGATAATATTTGTGTCTTTCCACTTCGTCCCGCTGCCCCTCTACATGTCCCTTGTCAACGGCGTTGTCCACATTGGCTGCAAAGGCTCGGGCGCAGAGGTGCTTCTGGACAGCGTCGGGAATTTCAATGATGTCGTCCGTGTCTACGGTTTGGACTGCGTCGGTCGTGACGAGCGGTTGCGGAAAAGATCATGCCTCAGGCCATTCGGAGGCGGGAAGTCCCTCCATCAAAACGCGATGGTAGAGATACTAATCGTCGATGACCGAGATCAGCTGAGGTCCTTGTTCCGGCGGCGGTGCTTCCTCAGTAGGTTCGGGTAGCTCTACTGCTCCTCCGAACTCGTAAGTCATTTCTTCTGACTCCTCGTATACTTCCTCTGGTGCGTTAGGAGCATACTGATCTGGAAGAGGAGGTCCGCCCCAACTGGTGCCACGCGTTGCCCAGTACGGATCAACCACCGCTACATCCGCAGGAGGGAGTCTTGGGGCTTCAGGATAAGGAGGATTCGGCGGTCCCAGATGTTTAACAAGGTTTTACAACCGCCTCCTCCTGTAGCAGCCTCTCCTTCTGGTGTTTGGACCACACCCCAGCCGCCCGTGGTTGATTCTTTGGATGTTTCAATGACTCCCCACGGGCCGATTGTAGGGTTGGAACTTGCCCAGTTAGTGCCAGCTGCTGGAGTAGCTCCTAGTGTCAGCTTCTGTAGTTGCTGACCTTCCGCCGTCCTCCTCTTCCATTGTTGCAAGTCTGGTATCACCGGGAGTAGAGGTTGAGGCGGTCGGGACAGCGCGGATTCGGAGAAGTCCATATGAAGTGGGCCACTCGAGATCCATCTCCCCGGAGTGCGACCAGGTCAGCAGCTCCGTGGGAGCTGTTCTTAGCAGATTGTTCGCTCAGAGTCTTTAGTGCTGCCTTGAGCTGAGAAGTTTAAGACGAACACTCCATTGTCGTCGACAGCCTTGCCGATGTAACCGATGTAAGTGTTTTTGTAATACACTTTGAATGTCTTGTCTTCGCAGTTGCTACGAATGTCGAATCCACACCTCATGAGTTGCTCCGAAGAGAGCAGGTTGTACTGTTGATTGGGAACAACCAGCACGTCTCCGATGTGAATGGTGAAGAGAGTTTTCAGCCTCAAAGTAAATTTCTTCAATGTCGTAAGCCTTGAGGCGGTTGTTATTGGCGACGGTGATTTCGCACGGTCGCCGCATATGCCTTGAGCTGCTAATGAGCTTCGGTGACCCCACCATGTGTTATCCACATTAGCTGTCAAGATACCAAGTGTTGTATTTTTCGTGGTTCCAACGCGCAATCCCGGCAATCTTTGGAGTGATGATGTGGTCGATGTCTCCGAAGTACGGCAAGAGATCGATGTATCTTCTTGCGGGAAAGCTGGGAGGGGACTCTGGAGTGCTTGGAGGTAACTCGAAGTCAGGTGGGATGTCGGTTGGTCTAATGATCCAGCGACTGAGTGAGGGGTCATTGTTCGGGCTTGGCATGGTGGATCGATGGGCGCGATTGGTAGGTATTGAGCGTTGTCGTAGTATCAGAGGCCTCTGCGACGACGCGCCGTGCAGCTTAAGATTGAACCCTTGCCTTTGTCCTTGGACGAAATGCTTGCATGAGTTTCAGAGGTGCTTGCGACGGAAGGCGGCGACATGGTCGATGTCGCAGCAAGAGATCTCGAGGGTGCCAAGGGCTGCTGACTAGAGGAGTTGTTGCGCCTCTCGTCACCAACTTTTTGCTTGTAGCACCGGTCGATAGTATGGCCGGGTTTCTTGCAATATTTGCATAAGGTTCCCTTCTTTTGATGCTGCTTCCCTTCAGTCGCTCCAGTGAAGAACACTAACTTCTCCCGCTTTGTGTTCTTCTCATTGTACAGATAGATCTCCTTCTACTCTGAGAGAAGAGTGGCGCAAAGGGTGTCAAACTCATATTATATAGCTTGTGTAGGCTATAGTGGGGTAGACACTATGGGGTACAGTTTCCTAGGGTTTCCTACTTGTACCCAACTTTGTGCTAGTTCATTCTCATTCCTCAATTCTCACATGGTATAGAGCAGGTTCCCTAGTGGGAACTTCCTAGGGCCCACCACTGAACTTCGACTTTTTTTCCTGCCCTGAGATCGAGTCGCTCTTGACCGAGGCGCGCCCAGTGTGCCGCCCTCTCCTTAGCGACCCGTCGTGCCGCCCTCAGCGGCCCTCCCCATCTCTCACGGCCCCTCGCGACCCCGTCGCCGCTCTCCTAGCGGCCCGTCGCGCCGCCCTCAGCGGCCCCTCCTCCACGGCCCCGTCGCCGCCCTATTGCGGCCCCGTCGCTGCCCTATCGCGGCCCCGTCGCCGCCCTCTTGCGGCCCCGTCGCCGCCCTCTTGCGGCCCCGTCGCCGCCCTCTCGAGGCCCCGTCGCCGCCCTATCGCGACCCCGTCGCCTCCCTCTCGCGGCCCCGTCACCGCTGTTCGCGGCCCCGTCGCCGCTCGTAGCGGCCCTGCAGCCGCCCCTCGCGGCCTCGTCGCCGCCCTCTCGCGGCCGCGTCGGCGCCCTCTAGCGGCCCCCGTCGCCGCCCTCTTGCGGCCTCGTCGCCGCCCCTCCGCGGCCCCGCTACCGCTCCTAAGCGGCCCCGACGCCGCCTCCTACGCGGCCTCGACGCCGCCTCTACCGAGCCGCCCAGCAGCGGAGCCGCCGAGCCGCCCAGCAGCAGAGCTGCCGAGCCGCCCAGCAGCCGAGCCGCGCGACAGCTGAGCCGCCGAGCCGCCCGACCGCGGAGCCGCCCAGCAGCCGAGCAGCCCAGCAGCCGAGCCGCCTAGCCGCCCGACAGCCGAGCCGCCTAGCAGCCGATTCGCCGAGCCGCCCGACCGCCGAGCCGCCAAGCAGCCGAGCCGCTGAGCCGATACCAGTCCTACCGACGCGCCCTGGCCCTACTTACTCGTACTGGTGAGCCCACTACTTGCTAGACCTCTGCAGTCATGGCTACCCCCAGTGTTCTTGCATTTGACACTGAGGGCCGTGCTGTTGACTTTGAGCACTGGGTCGATGACCTCCAGCTCTTCCTCCACTGCGATAGGGCAAACGGCCTCTCTCTGTTCGACCTCACCTCTGGTGCCTCCCCTGCCCCTCCTGCTACTGCTGACAGCACTGTTCGCTCACAGTGGGCCACACGCGATGCTGCTGCCCGTCTTGCTGTGCGTCGCCACTTACCGACCACTGAGCGTGCACACTTTAGCCAGTACAAGAGTGCTCAGACCTTGTACGACGCTGTAGTTGCACACTACTCTTCCCCTGCCACTGCTGCACTGAGCCGCCTCATGCTACCGTACCTCTTCCCTGACCTTGCTGCCTTTCCCACAGTCGCTGACCTCATTACGCACCTCCGCACTAGTGACACTCGCTACCGCGCTGCGCTTCCTGCTGAGTTCTGCGCCAAGAACCCCCCCCCCCCATGTACATCACCCTCTACTATATAGTCACCCGGCTCCCTGACTCTCTCCGCGTAGTCAGGGACCACTTCCTCTCAGTTTGCCCCACCACTCTCACCGTTGACCTCCTCGAGAAGGGCCTCCTAGCAGCAGAGAAGAGCATAGTCGCTGTAGGAGCCTCTCGTAGTGACCCTCGCACCCCTGTCTTTGAGGGGTGTTCCCCTTCCCCCCTCTTGCCCTCTGTTGCTTCTCCTGCTGCGGCCGACCTCGTTGAATTCGAGTCGGTCGGCGCTGCGTCTTCCCCTAGCGGGAGACGCCGCACCAGCAAGGGCAAGGGGGGCAGGGGCGCTGGAGGGGCTGGCGGGGGTGGCGGAGGTGGTGGTGGAGGCAGTGGAGGGGGTGGGGGTGGTGGTGGGAGTGGTGGCGGGGGTGGCGGCAGCGGCGGCAGCAGTGGAGGCGGAGGAGGCGGCGGTGGTGGTGGAGGGAGCGGAGGCGGCGGAGGTGGCGGAGGAGGCGGAGGTCGAGGAGGCGGCGGAAGCAACGGCGGCGGCGGTGGTGGAGCGGGTCGCTAATCTGCTCAGAGGAGTGGGTCAGGTGGTGGTCCGCGCCAGCAGCAGCGGAGTGGTGTGACCTTGTCCCCTTAGCAGCTTCGTGAGTGTTACGCTGCGCGTCAGCGCAGTGGGGGTACTCGTCCCTGCACTAACGTCCTCCGTACCGGCGACCGAGCTGGTGAGCAGTGCGGGGGCCCGCATTCCACCGAGCGGTGCTTCGGCCGCCTGACGGACGCGTGGTGTCGCCAGTTCCCTGAGGCGTCAGAGATCCCTCGCTGGGGAGATCTGTCTAGGGCGGGGGTTGCCATCTTTGATCTTGACTATGATGCTATCCTTGCTGCCATGTATGCTGTGATTACTAGTGTTGAGGGTGACTGTTACCTGTCTGTACCACCTGACCCGGGCATTGTGGCTACTGCTCTAGGTGCTGGTTAGGCTACTGCTCTAGGTGCTAGTGCGTCTGCTGCCCCAGGTGCTAGTGGGTCTGCTGCGCCAGGTGCTGGTGAGTCTGCTCTCTCAGGTACTACGTCGGCTCAGGCCTTACACACCTTCACCCTTGACTCGGGTGCGTCCCGCTCCTTCTTTCGAGACCGCACCACTCTTACGCCGCTTAGTCGGCCGGTTGCAATCTCCCTGGCGGACCCCTCTGGGGGTCCTGTCCTTGCTAGCTTCTCCACTGTCTTACCGTGCCCGGCAGCCCCCTCTGGCACCCTGTCAGGTTTCTACCTCCCCTCGTTCTCTACGAACTTGGTGAGTGGAGCGGACCTACAGGATAGGGGGGTTTGCGGAGATAACTGCTGCAACGGGAGCTAGACTACGGGCTAGGCACGTGTGCTCGTGTGATCTCTGCGTTCGTTCACTTAGTCATTTCCTTGTGTTTACGCTTCTTGCTAGTTCACGGGGAGAATTGGCAAGAGTTTCACTAGGAAAACATGACAACAATAATACAATGAAGTTGGCAATGCAAGACTACATCAGAGCTAGCATTCAGGTCGGCCAACTGCCAGCGCAGCTTGGTCGACCGCGTTCCAGCACGACTTGGTCGACCGCACTCCAGCAAGGCAAGGTCGACGACGTGCTAACGTCGCAGGTTGATGGCGTACCAACATTGCTCACGCAGGACAGCAGTGCACCCGCTTCGCAGGTGCGCGCAGATGATTGGCGTGCAGAGTCTCGTCACCTGCACAGCGCACACATTACGTCAACCTCGAGCTGACGACTGCCTCTGATCCGCCACGACGACCTCGGGATACCACCACCGAGCTCGGTCTCGCCAACTTCGCCTGGGCGACCGTCGCAGTCCTCCGCAGCACTTCGTCACCCAGGTAACGTGGTCGGCCAGGCAACCACATCGACCAGCAGCTCCCGTACGTGCCCGTCGACCTCCCAAGTCGACGACCACCTCCATATCGACCTCACTAGGACGACCACGCCCCTCGGTCGACCTCCTCCAGGTCGACGTCCCTTCTGGTCGACCAGCTCCACGTCGACCAGCACTAAGTCGGCCAACGCAGTTGTCGGCCGACCACCCACGTCGGCCACCCGAAGTTGGCGTCACGAAGTTGACGCTCCGCTACTCGACGCCCAACTGCTCGTCGTCCTGAGTCGAGGTCGACGTCGGCCCCTCCTTCGTCGACTACCAGGTCCAGTCGACCACCCGCAGGTCGACCAGCAGTCCATCAGCCGACCACCGAAGTCGGCTTCCCCAAGTTGACGTCACCAAGTTGACGTCCTCCGCCGGTCGACTCCTAAGTCGACCTCCCCGAAGTTGGCGCCACCCTGAAGTCGGCGCCCGTGCAGTGGTCCCCGTGCAGGTCGACCTCCTCGTCAACCACCTTGCCTACTGCTGCAGGTCGGCTGCTCCTCTAACACCCGACCACGATGTCGGCTCCGCCCAAGCGAGGACGGGGCCAACACACAACTCCCGTTGACACTCCCCTGCCGCGTTCACGCTTGGGCACCCAGCCCACACGGCAGTACACCTCCGAGAATAGCCCGTCGGCGTGCACCCAACACACAGCACGCCGGTCACCGCACCAGCCATGCAAGAGGGCATGGCACCTACTGCTGCACGTTGTTATCGCCGTCGCCCACGTCGGCCAAGCGCACCTGGCCGATTGCGACGGAGCACCGGTTGAAGGCCGGATAGTGCAGCGCCTTCGTCAGGAAGTCGGCTGGCTGCTCAGCGGTCGGGATGTACTGCAGCGAGAACTTCCCGCGCTTCACCATGTGCTGCAGCCAGGCCTGTCGCCGCTCCATGTGCTTGAGGTTGCCCGTCAACCCCATGCCCTCGGCGACTGTGATAGCCGACTTGTTGTCCACTCGCAGGACAGTCGGCTTCCCGACGTCCAGCTGCCGGAACTCCGCAAGAAGGAAGCGAAGGCGGCGTCCCTCCTTGCCAGCTTCAGTGGCCGCAACGTACTCCGACTCGGTCGACGACAGCGTCGTGCACTTGATGCGCTGGCTCGACCAGGAGACCGCGGCCCCACCGTAGACGAACACGTACCCACTCGTGCTCGTCCTGTTCTGCTTGTCACCGGCATCATCGGCGTCCACGTAGCCGACCAGCTCCAGCGACTCAAGTCCACCGCCGAACTCCAGGGCGGTGTCGCATGTGTTGGTGAGGTAGGCGAGGCAGCGGTCGACCTCGCGCCAGTGCTGGTCGCTCCTCACCGTGAGGCCGCTCCCCAGCTTGCTGCAGGCAAAGGCGATGTCCGGCCTCGTCATTGTCGCCGTGAACTGCAACGAGCTGACTTTCTGCCGGTACTCCTCTTCCTGGCGTTCCTGCGCCTCCTCGTCGTCGAAGGTGAGCTCGCCGTAGGCGTCGACCGAGACCGGCGTCTTCGGGGTGCGCCCGGTCTGCTCCTCGTCGATGAAGCGCCTACGCAGCCTGTCGGTGTAGCCCTGCTGGTGCAGCCACAGCTTCCCCGCCGACCTGTCGCGCACGATCTCCAGCCCGAGGTACTTCTGCACCGGCGAGATCTCGCGCAGCTCGAAGGCGGCTTCCAGCAGCTCCTTCAGCTCCTTCAGCATCGCGGCGCTGCTGCTGGCGGCAAGTAGGTCGTCGACGTAGACCAGCACCTAGAAGGCCACTCCGTCCTTTCCGACCTTGAAGTAGAGAGCCTCGTCGACCTGGCTCTTCTTCCACCCGGCGCCGACCAGCACATCATTGAGCGCCAAGTACCACAACAGCGGCGACTGCTTCAGCCCGTACTGGCTCTTCAGCAGCTTGCACACCCGGCCGGATCCGTCGTTGAAGTAGTCCGGCTGGGACATGTACAGCACCCGATCGAGCTTGCTCTGCAGGAAGGCGTTCTTCATGTCGAGCTGCATCAGGTTAAGGTCGAGGATGGCGACGATGCTTAGGAAGATCCTCAGCGTGACGTAGCTGCCCACCGGCGCGAACGTCTCGTCGTAGTCAACGCCGTACACCTGTGTGAAGCCCTTCACGACCAGCCTCGCCTTCTCGCGCTCGACGGTGTCGTCGACGTGGTACTTCGTCGTCAACACCCACCGGTTCTTCATGACGTTCACTCCCGGCGAGCGTTCGACCAGCTCCCACGTTCCCATGTTGAGGAGGCTGCGAATCTCCTCCTCCATGGCGGCCTTCACCGCCGGGCCCTTCCAGCTCGCCAACGCCTCCTTCACCGTCATCGTCGAGATGTCCCAACGGTGCTCGGGGTCGGCTAGCATGTCGGGGTCGAGCTCTGGAAACTCTTCATCCTCCTCGGCGTCGTCGTACAGCAGGTCGTCGGCCTCATCGTCCACGTCGTACACCGTGGTGAAGGCAGCGGGGACGAAGAAGTCAGGCGGCCTCCGAAGTCGGCCTGAACGCCGTGGTCCTGGCTGGACCTCCTCGGCGTCCTCTCCATCGTCGCTGTTGTCGCTGCCCTCGGCGTCCTGCTGTTCCTCAGCCGGCGTCCCAGCCGACTTCTCCCTTGTGGTCGGCGTCCCAGCTGACTTCTCCCCTATGGTCGGCTCCCCTGCCGACTGCCCAGTCGCCGACTGCTCCTTGGTCGGCGTCACTTGCTGCCTGCTCCTTTGTCGGCCGCTGGTCCTCGACCTGCTTCTCGACCTGCTCCTCCCCTGACGACGTCGACTGCAATCCCACGTCGACCTGCCGCTCGTCACGTCGGCCACCGGCGATGCACTTGGCCGAAGGCGACATCCCACTACTCCCCTCATCGCCGGAGGCCGACACCGAGGTCAGCCCACGCAGGTCGGCCACGAGGGGAGGGGCAGGGGTCGGAGGGGGATGGGTAGGGGGGCGGACGTCCTCGACGTCCTCAATAGCAAGCTCACCGACCTCGGCAAGCAGTGGCAGCGTCGCCGACGAGGTGTCAGAGGGCGGGGTGGGCGACGAGCAGCCGGACACCGACCCGTACTCCGTCTTCCACTCGGCCAGCGACATCTCCTCGTAGAACACCACGTCCGACGTGGTGACCACCTGGTCGGTGTCGACGTCGAGGAGCTCCCAGCCCTTGCTCGCCGCCGACACGCCAAGGTACAGGCCCCACCTGGCCTTCGGCTGCAGCTTCCCACCACGCTCCTGCTCGGGGACTAAGAACTGCGCCATGCAGCCCCACACCTACGCCAGCGACAAGTCGGGCTTCTTCCCGGTCAGCAGCTGGTACGGCGTCGTCCTCGGCGGCAGCGCCGACCTCTCAAGGCAGTTGCGGACCCAGACGGCCTGCCGGAGAGCGAGGTGCCACCAGTGGTGCTGCACGCCCATGTGCAGCAGCATTGTCCGCACCGACTCCACCACCGTCCTCATCTCCCGCTCCGCCATGCCGTTCTGCTGCGGGGTGTATGGGCAGGTCAGGTCGTGGACGATCCCCTTGCCGTTCACGAAGTCAGTGAACTGCTTCCCGAGGAACTCCCCTCCCCGCTCAGAGCGCAGCATCAACACCGACTCCTTCGTCTGCCGCTCAACCACCGCCAGCCACTGCACGAACACCGGCAACGCATCTGACTTCTTGGTGACCGGCTTCACCCACACGTAGCGGGTCTTGCGGTCCTTCAGCAACAAGAAGTACAGGCTGCCATCCTTGGCAGCCACGCGGAACGGCCCGCACAGGTCGATGTGCACGACGGCCAGCACGTCGTCGGCGTCGGAGCCTTGGTCGGGGAAGGTGTGCCGCGCCAGCTTCCCGCCGACGCACGAGACACACGGTGAGTCGGCATCCGTCGCCGACTTGAGGTCCAGCCCAATGGCGACCTCGTTCTTCGCCGAGCTCCGTATGGTGTCCATGCCGACATGTGCAAGCCGCGCATGCATCCAGTCCGGCGTCGACTTCGTCTTCGAGACGATCGCCCGCAGAGCCACAACCTCCGTCGTGGGCGACGTCGACCTCGTTGAGCAGGGACGCAGGTCGGTGCAGAGGACGCGCTCGGAGTACGTCGCCCGACCGAGCACCACTCCGGCTGCAGAGACG